CACAAATAAGGACAGGCACATAAGTACACTGACAAAAGCATCTGTTAATAATTGGATCATATTCTTAAACAACCAGACACACTTCAACACACATGCACACTTTCAACACACCTCTCTGGCTCTTCAGAGAGAAACAATTTATAGATACTGTACCGAACCCCCCCCTCCCCTCACCACCTCTCATCTCCCTCTTTGCCTTGCCATGCCCCTTTTCCCATTCACCCATACAGACACACACACACACACACACACACACAAAATCAGCCGCCCTGCCACACGTACCGGAGGGGAGGACACATCCATATAGCACCCAGGAAATTAACTTGACATTTGATGCAGACAGAAAAATATATTTCAGTGGGGGGGAGGGAAAAAAAACAAAGTGTACTAAAGCAGAGATAGCATAAACCCATCCCTTGTTCACCCTTTGCCACTCCCCCCCCCCCCCTTAAGCCCAGGGATTCATTTGAAGCGGATTTCAGCGATCTGCAATGCAGACGCCACTGGGTGCCCACGGAAAAATGAGCTTCATATTTTTGGCCTGTCCGTCTCCATGTAGGCTGTCTGTCCCTCTTTGTTTCCATCTTTTACGATGCGGGCGCTCTCCCTTTGAGTTTTTCTCTTTCTGTTTGGGATGAGGTTGAAAGAAAATTATTGTATTGGAAGATCACTTAACGTTAGCCGGCATTAGAAAATATAAGCACACCACTCTTTTTGAATACAACTATTCAGTAAAGTAGGAAGAGAGGAAGATTGTTAGTCTTTTTTTTAATTCTTTCAACTTATCATTTGTCTGATCCCACCATTGATTTACACGACAGGGAGATCCCTACAAAATTAACGTCATTTAGAAAAATATGCAACATTAATAAACAAAATTTGTTAAAATCATCGACAGCAGTCATTCCTATTACTCACACATATACATATTACAGCGTTGATTCAATATCATCCGGGTAGACTAGAAAATAAAGTGTGGTGTGATCTCGCATATATTTGATAAGATTAACGATCACATCAAAGGCCGCGTCGTAACCTCGGCCAGGAGCCCAAACACCACAAGCAAGAGCAGACCAAAATTAATACATCATTATGCTGCTACAGTTCGTACCCGTGAACACACACAGCAAGACCGCCAACCAGCCAGCGTCTGTCTCAATATCCCCCGCATTAGACATGCAGGAATGTTAACATCATTATGCACAATTGTGAATGTCTGTCTGTGCCCTCCCCCCTTTCACTCCTCCACCATATTGTGTCTGCGGGTAAGTCTGTGTGTGTGTGTGTGTGTGTGTGTATGTGTGTATGTATGTGTCTGACAGAGGGCAGCATTATTTAAATATACATTTTTTTTTGTTTGCAAGTTGAAACAAATCAGTGATTCTTGTATGGCAATGAAAACCTCTTAATGCAATATTGCCACACCATGTCAACATCAATATCAACATATTGTTGAAGAAAGTAATGCTGCAGGAATTCATTTCACAAGAAAATATATTTTGTGCAAAATAATTTGTATTGTATTACAAGTATTTATAAATTAGGTTGGAATAACAATAACATTGTGTTAATAAACTGGCATATTTAACATGACAAACACACTTAGTTTTGTATTATGAATGATAAATAGAATACAATGTACAATTGGAGTGCGCAATATCTTGAGTATTTCAATATTGTTGCACTTTTAGTGTTGATGCATCAGTGATATTGTCCCGATGTAGCATGAAGGCGACTTTGTCTTTGAAATACTTAGTAAGAACACCATCAAATATCCAGGAAAATGAATACCAGCATATTTTCTTTTCCCATTTCATCCTCTCTAAATCCGCCCAGTTACTGAACACGTTCAGAAAAATGTAATTTATCTGATAGAGTTGAAGTTTTTGCTCGGGAGGCAAAGGGGCAAAGAGGAAGACGTTCATTAGCACTGTGATACCATTACCTGCTCAGAATTTGAGGCGGTACCATCAAAATATTTCATCGTTCCAACACACTCATACTGCAACGCTGTTTGCAGCCATTGTGACGTATTTGCATTCAATGTGTTTTGGAACAGGCTCCTGAGTGAACACCATTCCTTTTGTTCTATCACGAAAAACAAAGAACGGTTTCCTCCAGAGAGGTTACATCACAAATAGAGGGTACACATTATTTAGGCATCGGGAGCAAAACAGATCAATCCAGTATTTAAAAGCAGAGGAAACAGAATCTTGCTCTACAGTGCAACATAAATTTGGAATCTTATTGAAAGCAATATATTTGTCAATTGTCCGGCATGCGTCGTATACAAAGTGCTTGGCATCCTTCTGCTTATACAAACTCCCCCCCCTGCCATCTCGCTATCCCTCCGCTGCCGGCGATTTGCATTTATCTGCATGATTTTACAATGTGCATATCCTTTGTTCTGGCTCTATGATGATGCAGAAGGACCCCCCACCCTCCCCCAATAGCGCTATTACTAAGCCCGCTGAAAGCTACTTGGATATTAAATGAAAAAAAGAAAACCCTAGTTGTATCTGTTTTTATCATAAATGGATCATACAAAAATCAAAGCACAAAAACAGACTCATCCAATGGTATTCAGATGAGGAGTGTGTTTTAATTTAGTTGAATTTGAAGTAAGAAAAGGACATAATGTGCTGTTGCTGAGAGGCAGGAGCTTCTGCAATGTACAACATGGAGAACGGATTGCACTCAAGCATGAAATATGGAATTACTAGACAAGTAAGACGTTTTTTTAAATTATGGATGGAAAGTGAATCATAAAAAACATTATTCTCATGAACATGAACTATTTTCTTCTTCTGTTGCCACCCGGCAGTAGTTATATTTTATAATTGTTTGCTACTGTATCAGGCCGTCCTTAATAATGGAGCCTTTACATTTAGCTTGCTACTCTTCACTGCTCAAAATTTCTTCATTTCAATATTTGTACATAAACCTGCCGCAAAGCTTTTCCTGTAGTCTTAGATATTTTGTTCTCTGCTGTTGTTTTATCTGTGACAACATGCACACACACGCTGACGCTTTAACACTCCTTAATCATGCAGACAAATGGAGACGCAACTTCATTAATCGCGCTGGGCTTGCACTGAAGATACGGGAGCAGGCCTTACAAATGCACGGCTTATTTCCAAGAATGCAGGCACCATATTATAAAAACTCATCCTCGCCAGTCCTCTAGCAGCCATAGTCTATAATATTCATATCTAATGAATAATTATGACTACACCATTGCAAATTAGGCGATGCAATGTAAACAAACTATACTACAATCGTTTTCATGGGTGGATATTGTTTTGGCATTCTCAAAAGAGTAAAAAAAGATCAATCACGACTGTAGAAATCTAAATATGGAGTTGCTGTCCTTCTTTCAGGTAGTGACATTTCCTGATATTGTCAAAGCACTGATAATCTGCAAAGATAATAAATAAAATGCAACTACTATGGTATCCCGTCACACCGTGAAACATATGTTACAAACTGCTCCACAGATGTTGCGTTTACTGTATCTTATTGAATAATCTAGTAAAAACAACCACTGAAACTGAATTGAAAAGTGCGCTTTTTGATGCTATTTAGCAAAAAGTGTTGGATATACAAAGCTATTGACCCACCGCTATTCCAATAATCCTGAGGTCTCAGTCAACATCTTCCTTTTTCAAAAATGGCTAAGTTGCCTTTTTACTACTTAGGTCAATCTGATTAACACTTTCAACAATGATCCTGGTTACACTCAATATGGCCTTATGAAATAGCAGCATTACTAAATGATAAATTGAAGTTATGCTGGAATAAAGATAAGTAAGTACAAAAATATATCAATGTTAATATGTTAAGATATTACAGTTGAAGAGAAATGATGGCAGGAGACTTGATTTATTATGAAAAGGTAATTTGTGGAAAGTACAGCCTAGTTTGCTTTAAGGATCCATATCTCTGTGGTGTGGTAATCTGGATGGTAACAGACTTAAGCACTGACTTGTCCTACCAACTCACTGTCTATCTTTGTAATTGGCCGAGCAGTCCACCAAATGTGTGTTGGAGTATTGGGAGTAATTAGGGTTAGTTATTTGGAGCAAGTAGCACCAGTGTACACACTTTTGCCATTTGGCAGCACCTCTTTCAACAGACACTTATTTTTTTTCTAGGATCATCAAGAAATAAACCTTTGAACTCTCAACATGTAGAATCACGAGGGTATTTAGAATTGGTTTATTTATTTACCAAAAGGTTTGGAGCATTGTCTCACCACCGAGGGAATGGGCACGGCAGAACAAGTTAATGGTTCTCAGTGTGTATCCCAAACCTCAGCCCCTGTTCAGTTTACTCAGCTGTCATAAAATTTGGGTCACAGTTTAAATTAAAATACCATCCTTCTATGGCCTTGTGGCAAATATTTCTTTGTCATTAGAGCGTAGCTGAGCTCATTAAAATGCGTGGCGCTTTATAATAGCATAAAACGTGTCATGTAATAGTAGCCAGAGGTCTAATAAATAGAAAAGAAAAATGTCCCGCATGCAATGCAAACAATGCCAGAGCGAGAGAAATGACCACGTTGATTGCAATGGAAAGCTTCTTTGTTGATGCTAGTGATGGCGTGTGTGCGTCCGTTTTGTTGTTGATGAACAGTGAACAGTAATCACTGTTTCCTCCGTGTTTTTGGTCACGCAAACAGTGAACACAGACTCACACAAGAGGGAAGATAGGCACACGGAGAGGAACCAAACCGCTGCCAACTAATGCATTCTGTTTTTGACATTTTGAAATTGGTCAGATGAATATAATGTAAACAATAAGTGACTTCTGAATTCAAAATTTAGAACTAATATTATGTTGCCATGCTTGCAACACATTCTTTTTCTTCTCTTCTTATTGGAAAAAATAAATATTTTCTCACATAGACTCACAGAAAAACGTTATGTTGAGTTTACGTACTTAGCTCATAATAGCTAAAACTGCACAAGACATATTTGGGTTTAATAATCCAAGCTCACCTTATGTGGGTCCAATGGACAGCAAAATCTCAGATGTCATCTCGACCTCTACTACCTGCAGCCTGTAGTTCTGCGTAGCTCTTCTCCATCGCTGCAGCAATAAAAGCAAACACACGGAGGGGGTGAATACGTTTACTTAGATCTAACCTTTACATGTTCAATAACTATTCCTGAGCAAATCCCAATTAACATGTTTCCACTAAAAATAAAAGAGGAAGAAGCAAACACATAGGTGAATTTGACATTGAAAAGTTGACTTGCAGGAATTTAAATTGGTAATAACTTTGTGCAAATGTCTTTTCAACCTTTACAACTTGCTACAAATAGCAACTCTAAAGGTGGTCCCTCTTTTATAGCACAGGAGGAGCAGGTTTGCAGATCAGAAGTTTGTTTTTACATACTTGAGAATATTAATGTGAAACTTTTTTCAAATGTTAAAATAAAGGGTGTAAATATATATTTTTGATGTATGTATGGGCTAAGCATGTCATATTAAAACAGTTCAGACAAGATAATAACAGTCAAAGTCTCCCAAGGGTATTCTGGTGTCTGCTGCTTGATGCCTGCTCTGCCTCCTCTTACTGGTCTTCTCTCCATCAACATATTTAATGTGCATTTTGAAGTATCGCAATAGTAACGATGCATACACACTCAAAATGAATCAATCACGAAAAGATGCAAAATGAGTTGATACAGTGATACACCTAATCGCGTACAAATAGGTTTTATCAATTCTAACGTAGCGAACATTTAATAACTCAAATGACTGATGAGCTGTTTTTCATGAAGTGCAAAGGTTTGTCATCATCTTCAGACAGCTTTAAAGATGGTGAGTGCGAGCTGACGTGCGACTTGTTTGGTCTATTCCTGCCACTGTTTACTGGTCGATAACAGCTATGCTTAGCATGTAGCGCCAACTTATGAGCAAACAAGTCTATTCGCTCCAAATGCCAAGGCTCAAGGACAAGTTAATTTAAGGTGAGAGGGAACCATTACACACCGTAATCGCAGTTGGAGAAGAACTGTTTGGTCTCATAGAAACATGCAGATGAAATTTATTCCATCCTTAAGAAATTGGGGGTTAAAGTCTTTCTATTAGTTTATTTTGTCAAACTCTGCTGGGGGCGCTGAGCTGACTATATCCTCATGGGACGATAGTTTTCAAAAACTGGTCAAAAATGCTGTTGATGAAAAAGAATCATCAAAAAGTGCCAAAAGTACTTTTGATATTAGAAATAAAGCAGTGTCTTTTATTATTTAATGTTCATGCGCATAGAGATACATACATACATACTCATATGTACACAAACTGTAATTGCAGCTGTGTTTTTAAATAATTCTGAGACTCTACTGGCGTGTCAGTATCGTACTGATGCCACCTATTATTAGAGCTTCATATCAAAGCGCGCACACACACATACATGCATGCGTATACAAAGACTGGTGCTGCCACACTCACTGTCACAATGCTGCATGTCAACAGCAAAAATACAACCTCACAAGATTTGTAAGATCAAGGTCTATTTTTTCCTTTTTAATTAGGATTGGATGCATTCAATTACCTACAAGCTCAAAAATACTCGAAAATAGAGTTATAATCTTTAAAATCAATTAACACTTCAGGAGTAATAAAAACAATTCTCACACTCCCTTTGCAATGATTTATGCTGTTTTGTGTGTGTGTGAGAGTATATGAATGTGTGTGGGTGTGTTTTTCTTGCCCTACGGCAGGGTTTAGGGTAACTATACAGCTCGCCCCCTCCACCTTTACCCAGTTCCCTTTGCGGCTTGTGCGGCTTGTCTCATCCCATCTTGCTCTTGCTCCTCTGTCTCCCTTTTGCACTCTGCTCCCCCCCTCTCCTCTCCACTACCCTGCTTCTAGCCTACGTGTGTGTGTGTGTGTGTGTGTGGGTGGATGGGTGGGCTATGCTGGCGACGAAATCGTCACCTGCATGTTTTCTCTAAAACATTAGTCCGGTGATGCAAATTGTGTTTGTATACGTATTTTACACAATCATGCCATAATTATAAGATTACGTGACAATGAACTTACAGATCCTACACCTGCTTTTTTCATAGAGTGGGAAAATGAAACATTTGCTGGGTAAGTTGAAGTGATTTGAAGCGCTGTAAGAAATGTAAAATTGGAAAAATTACATATATCTTGACTTCACTGATGCAGAACTGACTGCCTTTCTCACACAGTGTGACTCCTTGCCAATTGCACCTACATACATGACAAGAAAGAAGTAGTCAAAGAACAAAAGCACTTCCTTCACAAGAGGTGTGTCTACTCTCCACCGCGGAGGCTTTCAGTGTTTCATTATCCAAAGTCAAGGTCTGCTTTTCCACCCAGCTCCCCCATGCTGCCTGTCTCATTTCCTCCCGGTAACAATCCATTAGCCAACACCAGGCTCAAACATGCAGTCGCTTAATTATTCTCACTTCTTTGGCAGCACGACATCAGTACCACTCATCAGAAGAAACAGGGGAACAGCTGATATGCACGACGTGTATACTTTATACGTGTAAAAAAATAGGCAATAGGCTTACTATGACGAGGACAAACATCTCAAATATACATAATGTCCACGCACATGCTTCTATAATACAAACATAATCACATCCAAAGAAACACACACACACACAGGCATATGTATCTACAGAAACAAATCCAAACCTCAATGTACCATTCTAAACAAAACTCGTAAATTGTAGTTGAATACCAACCATTATATATTTCTGATGAACAGCATCTTTGCGTGTGCCTGTGTGTCAATACCTCCCCAAAAAAATATTATGTGTGGCATAATTCATCTTGAATAATTTCCTGCACATTCTTCCTCATGCTAGGCCTCAGGAGCACTTCAGGATGAAAGAGAATGCTAATGTTGTGTCTGCATCTCACTGAACAATGTGTCTTTTTGGGCTCTAAGTGCATATGTGTGCATGTGTGTGTGTGTGTGTGTGCGTGTTTTCCTGCCTCACTAAGCACAGTTATGATAATTAACAGATAGGAGAGGTCTGCCACAGCGTGTGCATGTGACAATGAGGAGAGTACGACAGAAAATGATAAGTGGAACGGTGTAGCGCTGATTTAATAAATTTGCAATATTGTCACTGACTGTTCTCAGTTAAAAACTTATATTGTAGATTTTTGGGAATAACAAATGTAATGCTCTCACAGAGAGAGCAGATTCTACCACTTTCACAAAAGGTTAAGTACCTCATCCTCATAAGTTGAGGTGAGTGATGTATACAAAATGTTAACTTACATTTCTATGAGTGGCACTTTGTGGCATGCTCTGGTTGAAGATTATCGCAGTCAAATAATTGAATTAACTGTTTAGTCTGTAACTTGTAATATTTGCAATATGTGCGTATTTGATTTTCAATAAATGCTTTGTGTGTCAAATCAAAATGTTTTGTCAAAATGACCTCAATAGAAAACAACCTATGAATTGTTTCTTGTGCAGAAAATGCACGGCACTGGTTGATTGAAATTCTTAAACATGAACAAATACCAGTTTATTTCTGAAGACGTGGCTACTGATACTGCTAGTGAATCCTGTGGATTAGAAAACTAAACAACCTGCCAATCTCGTAGGTGACAGTGATAGAGAGAATTAAGTCCTGCATTTGAAAAACACGGCATGCAGAGCTGCTGATGACAGTAATTGAATAATTGACTTTCAGTGCGCTGCGATCCTCTCTATTTACTGCATGAATCTGTATGTGTTAATGTGTATGCATGCGCGTGTCTATGCCAGCGGACATTTTAGGTCTACCCTCCTCACACTCTCACTACTGCCAAACGCCTTAAGATGGTGGCACCTTGAGGCAGAGAGAGACACTCATAGAGAAGCCAACCTCCTCCTCCTCCCTTTCCCCCTTCTTCCACCTCAGGTCCTTATGACAACACAGGACAGACGCCCCCTTTCCGAACCCTTAGCCCCCCCCCCGATAAATATTTAATTCACCCCTCTCTAATAAGAATATTAGGCGAGTACAGCCCGGCCCTGGCGTGTATGCATGAGTCCTGTCTCATCAAATTTCCATAAAAGCGCTGGATGCTAATGCGAGCATAGCACCTACTGCTCACTATTCCATATGCACTTTTTGGCTCCTCAGTCCGAGAGACCGTATAATTTAATTGCCGAGCGGCATATATTTTTCAAATGGTTCCCCATATTCAAATTGAATCCGTACCTCAATAACATATGCTTTACGGAGAACACAAAGACGGGCATATTTTAAATATAGTAACGTCACGACTACATTGCTTATGCTTATTTTATGTTTCCTGAAGCCCCTCCTCTTCGATGAAATGAATACCGATGTAACAGAAAAAAACAACATCCACTACCGACAGAGAAAAACACTGAGCGCCTGATTTTTGTAATTAATAGAGGATGAATAATGCACTGACATGAAATACATTATTTACACCCTTTTATCTTCAAAGCAGATTCAAAGCATATTTCAAATGCAATTATACTAATTTATTTATAATGCATGTTATTTTAATAATCAAACGCCAGCAGAGCACAGATATCCAGGAAGACAGCTTCAGTGCAAAAGTCTTACTAACACACACATCCTCATTGGGCACTATTGCTACCACACTTTAGCTGTCTCATAGTGAGGCAACACAGCTGAAATTATAATATACTTGTTGGCATTATTATCATCTATGTTACCTTGATTATGTTAGCTATGTTGGCAATATAGGAACAAAGTTTAAAACATAGCGTTTGCATTCTGGTCTACACCTTAATCCCCACAACATGTGCCGTTTGTAGGTGTCATCGTATGACTGTAGTATCATTTAGGCAGCAATACCTGGATCGTTTAAGTGGTGACGTAATACCATCATCAGCTCAAATTGTATTACTTTAATATTGTTGTGCTTTTGACAAATTATCTGGAAAACAATGTGACAAGGTTTATACTTAAAAAAAACACTAGGACAAGACAACAACAATGTTTTCTCAATGCCGTCACAGATAATTATGAACAAATATGTTTTAAAATAATGAAAAGTAGTATTATTATCCTAAAACAAAACAATTATTTTCTTGTAACTGTCAG